ATCCACAATTCAAGTCTTGTGAAGTGAAAACCTGTGTGTTTGTAAGATGAAAAAAAACATCATTATGATATTAAGATATTACAACATAAATCACATTGTTAGGTTACCAGACAAAACAGTCCAAACCTTGGTCTGAAAAAGATTAAAGACCCCCGTTTTAATGGTAAAGTTGAGACAGGCCCTCGCACAAAAATCCTCATTGAAAGGTTTTCTTCCTCTCTTTTTCTATTCTATTCCTAATCTTTTGATCGCTTGTTACCCATGTTGAAAAGAGGTCTTCTTTTCTAACATCAAAAGGAATGAGGCAGGTGCTGCATTGACAGCTGTGAGAGACATTTACAGTCCAGGTGAACGTGACGTCTATCCTCCATTGACCTGCTCTGTTTCTCACTTGCTATGAATGAAAAGCTCGCTGCATGAACAAATAAACATCTGTGTCTGACAGTCTCATCCGTGCTTTGAATCCAGCTAAATCTCGGTTTATTGCATTCGCAAGCCACTCTCCTTCCCTGAGATCTGACAGGAATACACGAGTGTGTGTGAATGGAGCTGATCATTACGGCTCTACCTGATCTCATAACTGACGGCTGACAGGATTGTCAGTCACTCATACATTCACAAACCTCAGATAAGGGTGCAGGAGATGAACACTGCATGCAGACGCCCTTGATGATTAAGCAGGTCGTTAGAGGGATTAAGCAAAGTGATTAACATGCAGAAAAGCATGCTAATTGAAATCCTACTGTTTCATTTTGTTAATCACATTTTGGAGTTGTAAAAACATCCCAACTATTCTACGTTCCAATGCATATGTTTTGTATTACTAAATACTGAGCAAAGGGTCTGAATACTTAGGACCATGTGATATTTCAGTTTTTCTTTTTTAATAAATCTGCAAAAATGTCAACAATTCTGTGTTTTTCTGTCAATATGGGGTGCTGTGTGTACATTAATGAGGAAAAAAAATAACTTAAATGATTTTAGCAAATGGCTGCAATATAACAAAGAGTGAAAAATTTAAGGGGGTCTGAATACTTTCCGTACCCACTGTATGCATATATATGTGTGTGTGTTTATATATATATTACCCTCCATAATATGTTATCTTTAACATGCGTGAACATATTACTCACTTAAATAAAATAAGCAAGGAACATACTTTACAATGTTTAAAAAATAATATAGGCCTAACTCTAGTTTTGATTGAAATCTATTAGGTTATTCCATCCACATTTGCATTTGGCCTAAATGTATAGGCTACTGTAACATTGGAAATGTATTTTCATGCACCTGAAATACATTTTGAAATATATTCTATTTCAAAAACATATTTCATTGAGCTTCATTGTTTACAACTTATATTTAGCATATATTTAAAATATATAGTTGGCCAGGGATATTTTACTGAGGATAGAACGCTCTTTTCGTCGTACTTTTTTTTCTTGTCTTTCTGTAGATGAACAGAAATATGATCTTATATCAATCTCTGTGGTCACATCTACAGCCATTTGTCTAATGCTCGTCTCCATTTACATTATAATGTTTTCTTGCTGATCGTCAAAAAAAAAAAAATTATTTGTAATGCTAGTCAGGACATTTATAGCAGAAATACAGTACTTTGGACAAGAAAATCATTTTTTTAAATATGCTTAAGGGCGTCTCGTATTTCTCTCCATTATTAGTTGGACAATCTCAAAATGTAGCCTAATTTCCTTCTTGGCATTCCTCCTGTATTTTGTCGATCATTAACATTAAATAAACAAGAAGTTGACTTTTACCTACATTTTAGACACAATATTGCCACTTCGTCATTTTTTGACAGAATAGTTAGTCAAATAGAAAGTCAAAGCGTGAACGGCCTCAGCAACACAAAACAGTGCTGATTCGTTGCTGAATGAAGCGGTTCTTTAAATGATTCAGTGACTCACTCATAAGATAGATGGTTCGTTCGTGATTGAATGGATTCGTTTGTGAACTAATCGGTCGATTAATGCTTCACTACTGTAACCTGCAGATATGGCCATTGGGGAAGCGGAGTGATACTGTAGTGATACTGTAAGTGAAATAGTGAAAAGTCCCAGCCGCTCAACCAATGGAATTCGAGAATCGGAACTTGTATGGGTCTACAGTTCTTTTAGCGCTATAGCGTTGAGCTCTATTGGTGAATGAAAGCTTTTTCAAATGAGCTTTTGAAATCTGTGTAGTAGGGATGGGCGATACCACTTATTTTGTTTTCGATACCATACCGATATTTTTCAAGGCAGTATCGTCGATACCGATACCGATACTTCTGAACTAAACTTTTAAATCATGAAATTTATTAAATTACTAAGAGTAAAATGGGTAATGATAACCACTTAACTTTGTTTAAAACGTATTTTAACATTCAATACGCCTTAATTATAACTTATTAGTTTATATTTTTGTTTACACATGGTTCAAATATATTTTTTGTTTACACATGATTCGAATCTACAAATACTACAGTTGAACTACGGTCACTTTAGTAAATGAACTGTCAGAAGTGAGTGAACGCTCTCTGTGATGGATTGGTTCTTCTGTCTTGTAACATTTGCGTGTGTTCAGATGAGCAGGAATATAGTTCTATCCTACACAATCATTTACTAACATAGGTTATTCGTCCAATTCAATGCATTATTTTTTTGCTAAATAAACAAAATCACTGGTAAATAAAACACACCTTAGTATCGATATTTATTGTTTGAGTATAAATACTTTCGATACTCGCATCAGTATCGATATATATCGATACTTCAGATCGACACGCCCATCCCTACTGTGTAGCTTTCTATGGGTTTCTGTGCAGGTCTATAATGAGTGTTGTTGATAAGGCAAAAGGCAATCATGTTCTCCAATGGTTTTGACTGTGATAATACCATAATTTCTAACTGAAAAACAGCAATGGAGCTGTTTGTTTAGAAAGGCAATTACTGGTCACACGTTGTGAGATCAACACGCATTTGTCTGAGATTTTCAGATTCCTCAGAGGAGCAGCGGTTTTCTTATTGATCACAGAATTGTGGGAAGAGCAACATTGTTTTCTTGTCTTCATGCTGCTCTTCTTGGCATCAGAGGTAGGGGTCATTTTAATGTATTTGTATTTCTAGAGGTAATGAACTGAAAATGTTTGACTCTTTAATACAGTTTTAGTGATCTAAGTTTCCCTCAGGTTCACACAAGGTGTCCACAGGTGTGCTTTATCACATTAACTATGAACATGAAATGAACTAAAATGTCTTTTTATTAATATCGCTCAGGACATATGAGCTAATAAGGCAGCTCTTGTGGGGTGTTCCCGGTTTGCAGTGGTATCTATCAAAAGTGGTCCAAGGAAGGAACAGTGGTGAACCGGCGACAGGATCATGGGCGGCCAAGGCTGAGTGGGGAGCAATGGCTGGCCCGTTTGGTCCGATCCGACAGATGAGCTACTGTAGCTCAAATTGCTCAAGAAGTTAATACTGGTTCTGATGGAAAGGTGTCAGAACACACAGTGCATCGCAGTTTGTAGAGTATAGGGGCTGCATAGCCGCAGACCAGTCAGGGTGCCCATGCTGACCCCTGTCCACCGCCGAAAGTGCCAACAGTGGGCACGTGAGCATCAGAACTGGACCACAGAGCAATGGAAGAAGGTGGCCTGGTCTGATGAATCACATTTTCTTTTACATCACGTGGATGGCCGGGTGTGTGTGCGTCGCTTACCTGGGGAACTCATGGTACCAGGATGCAGTTTTAGAAGAAGACAAGCCGGCTGAGGCAGTTCTGCTGGGAAACCTTGGGTCCTGCCATCCATGTGGATGTTACTTTGACACGTACCACCTACCTAAGCATTGTTACAGACCATGTACACCCTTTCATGGAAACGGTGGCTGTGGCCTCTCTCAGCAGGATAATGTGCCCTGCCACAAAGCAAAAATGGTTCAGGAATGGTTTGAGGATCACAACTAGTTTGAGGTGTTGACTTGGCCTCCAAATTCCCCAGATCTCAATCCAATCGAGCATCTGTGGGATGTGCTGAACAAACAAGTCCCATCCATGGAGGCCCCCCCTCGCAATTAACAGGATCTGCTGCTAACATCTTGGTGTCATATACCACAGCACACCTTCAGGGGTCTAGTGGAGTCCATGCCTCGACTTTTTCACCTGTTTTATTTTTCTTGTGCAGTTCTAAATGGAGCTTTGGAATGCTTTGCTCTATTTGTGCTTTTGGACAGGAATTTCACACGTAAAAAAAAAGGTGCAATTTTTTTTGTCGTTCTGTATGTTTTATTCAATGGAGGGCAACAACAAGAAGCTTTTACAATTCAGTCCACATCTTATTTCTAAAAAAAAATCACTTGCCCTGAAAGCATCTTTGCTCTGAACTCCACCATTTAACCCATTTCCTTTTCTAGGGATGCAAGCACCTTCCTTTTCTTCGTTTGTGCCCTACAAGCATCTGGGCGTCAGAGACCATAAATCACAGAGACCCCAAACTTGGCTTTATGGTGCCAAAGGTCCCCCGCTAGTCAGACACATTCGTCTCACACTAGCTGAAATGGAGGGCAACAACAAGAAGCTTTTACAATTCAGTCCACATCTTATTTCTAAAAAAAAATCACTTACCCTGAAAGCATCTTTGCTCTGAACTCCACCATTTAACCCATTTCCTTTTCTAGGGATGCAAGCACCTTCCTTTTCTTCGTTTCTGCCCTACAAGCATCTGGGCGTCAGAGACCATAAATCACAGAGACCCCAAACTTGGCTTTATGGTGCCAAAGGTCCCCCGCTAGTCAGACACATTCGTCTCACACTAGCTGGCACTATAATAAGGCAATTTTCATGTACCTTGATAGTGTATATCGCTATGTGGATTATAGTTTTATCAGCTGTTTGGACTCTCATTCTGATGGCACCCATTCACTGCAGAGGATCCATTGGTGAGCAAGTGACAGAATGCTTAATTTCTCCAAATCTGTTCCCACGAACAAACAAACCATCAGGACTCGTTCTCTGAAGCGCCAGACTGAGGAGCAGCTGACACTCTCTTTTTTGCTGCTGCTGATGCTGCAGCTGCTAAAATGCTGCGATTCCCTGTGAAGAAAATACGAAAGCAGTTCAAACTTCTGCTGCTGCTGGTGCTGCTTACTTTCGCCGTGTGGTTTACGTACCTGCACATCAACCAGGGCAAATCCATCAAACTCCACTTCAACTATGGAAAAGGTAAGCTGCGTTTGTTTTTTAATATTTTAGACTATCTGAAATGAATGATTTAGTATGTGAAGGGAGTTTTTTGCTGGTGTCTTTTTTGGAGAGGCGAGGAGAAATGAAGCAGAGGTTCAGAATAAGAGCAAGACGAATAGGAACTGCTGAATTATCATTTTCATTATTAACTTTAATTAACTAGGGCACCAGCACTGATATATCAGTTTCAATATCAGCGTCCAGAACATTTAATGGCTGGCAGATGAAAATTGGCATTTTAGGAGTGTAACATTAGTATAATCAGCATTTTGAATGCATTAGTATTGAATGCATTGTCATTTTGCAAAGAAAGCTGAAATATTGTATTTTGAATTAAATTAAGTTGACATTATATTGGTTTCATTAGAAGGTGCTAAAATTATGCAAATACGGACAACATAAAAGCAGATGCATTCAGATAAGCAGTAGTAGAGCTTAGTCTGCTGAACTGGATTCTCGGCTCTATGATTAAGTGTGAATTAGCAGAAGTGTATGCAGAAGCCATGTGCTTGTGAGAATCTCTTTTACCTCTGCAAAACAGATTTAAACACACACTCATGAAAACCGCTCATTGTGTCATTATATTGGTAGCCGTGTGAATTTATTTCTGTGACAAAAATGTGGGCACCAAACAATTGAAAAAAATAAAAAATAAAAAAGAAGAAAACTTTTGACTTGAGTTAAAGAACATGACTTGTTTATTAATGAAATGTGCATCATCAATCAACTCTTCCCACACACAAACACAGCTGCTCCTTTATTTATGCGAAGTGTGTAATATCTGTGAAATTTAAATTGCACAAAAAGAGACTTTTTCATTTTCGGAAGAAAATTATGCTGATTGTTAATAGGGTTACAAAGGGGCAGAAACTTTACATGGGAAGTTAAGCTGTGGAATTTTGGAATTCTTTGAAGTTGGAATCCTAATGGGTATACACAAGAATTAATTAGAAATTTGGGGTAATCTATTTGTCATTATTCAGCCTACTAATGTACTATGCTATGCCCGTATGCCGTTTTGTATTATATATAGTGTGAGTAGTGTGTTCACACTGGAAATTCCAACACAAAGCAGTGCACTTGAAATACTGAGTGATGCACTTATTTAACTGAACAAAGTATGGAATGTTTGACCCTTCTTGCAGCTTTAAATATGATGCTAGATGACAACATATCTGTCTAAGGCCTGGTTTCACAGACAGGGCTTAGACTAAACCAGGATTAGGCCATTGTTCAATTAGGAAATGTAAGTAATTTTATTAACATGCCTTAGAAAAAACATTACTGGTGTGCATCTTGAGACAAAACAAAGGCACTGATATATTTTAAGATCAGTCAGTGCAAGTTTCTTTCAGTTAAAACAGGTCAGATTTACACTTTAGTCTGGGACTAGGCTTAAGCCTTGTCTGTGAAACCAGGGGTAAATGTAAATAAACAAACACTAGCTTTCTCTTTTTTTCAATTCTATCTACTTGTTTTCTTTGTGTGTGTGTGTGCATATATGTGTGTGTGTAATATATTATATATATGTATATATATACACTGTAAAAAATGACTGTAAATTTAATGGTAAAAGACTGTAAATATGCTACAGTAAAAACCTGTTAAATGGTTAACGGTAAATTCCCCTACTATATACGGTGAAAAACTGTATTGGACATTACATGTATTGGACATAAATTTTACGGTAGTACACCATTTTTGGAAGTGAAAAAGACCGTATAATTTACAGTGAATAACCGTAAATTGACATTCCCAGAATTCCCTGCGTTAGATTTCAAATTTGATGTTTTTTTGTTGTTGAAATAACTATGTTTCTTCTTAGTTTTTTCTTATCAGTTTTGTATATTAGGGTTGTGTGTTACACCTAATGTTGTTAAATGAATGTTTACTGCATTATTTCAGTTTCATGTGTGTTACCATGATGGTGTTTAGTGTCTGTGTGAATGACACTGTGCACCTTCTATATATGGTATTATTTGAAAGCTGCTTGTGATGGGCTTTGTTTCATCATGTGACTTTCTCATCACCACCTGCATTTGGTGGTTATCAGTGTATTACAAAGCTACAAAACAGAAAAAGGTTTCAGTACTTCAATAAGTTGGAATATTAACATTATATCAGTTAAAGAAATTACTAATTGTTTGACTGTAAATTTAAGTGAAAACTGTAAAACCAAAAATGTTGCTATCGTATTTTTTACGGTAAAATCCCGGCAACCACAGCTGCCAGTTTTTTACCGTAAATTTTACGGATTTTTTTTACAGTGTATATATATATATATATATATATATACACCTTGCTACATGTACTGCGTTAGGCTAATCAAGACTTGTCATTTACACTTATATATTGTTGCTCTTTTGTTAGTTTTGACTGCTTTTATTGTCCTCATTTGTAAGTC